AGGATGAAAAATCAAAAGAAAAGGCTGAAGAATCAAGCCAACGACTTGAAGAATTGAAGAAGAAGAAGAAGATCACAGATGCTGGAGTTCTCAGGATGATTCAAAGAGGGGTCTCTCTATCCATCTTCCCATGGTTTATGAGAGCTAAAACATCGAATGAAGCTTGGAGTATCCTACAACAAGAGTTCAAAGGAGATTCAAAGGTGCGAACGGTGAAGCTTCAATATCTTAAGAGAGATTATGAAAATGAAAGGATGAAGGAGAACGAGAGCCTGAACGAATACTTCAACAGACTCTCTGAGTTGGTGAATCAGATGAAGTCACATGGTGATACGATAGAAGATCGTAGAATTGTTGACAAAATTCTGATCAGTTTACAATAAGATTTGACCCAATGGTGGGGGTAATAGAAGAAACCAAGGATCTATCAACCTTGACTGTTCAAGGGTTGATGGGGTCTTTGAGATCCTACGAGCAAAGGATGTTACGACATTCTGAAAAATGAATCGAGAGTGCATTTCAATCTAAACTCAACGTTCAGCCCAACAATGGTGAAAATAAGCCCCAAATACAAACTAGAGGTGAGTCTTCTAGAGGTGGCAGATTTAGAAGTGGCAGGGGCAGAGGTCGAAACTCACGTGGCAGATCTGGAAGAAGCGCAAATGGCGGAAGATGGAATGGAGCATCAAACAAATGGTGCAAAATTTGTAACAGCGGTACTCATGACGAGAAGGATTGTTGGAACAAAGGTAAACCACAATGCCACAATTGCAAGAGATTCGGGCACCTTCAAAAGGATTGTCGTCTTGCAAATCAACAACATGCTTCGTACGCAGAAGGAGAATCTGATGAAGGGAATTTATTTTTTGCTTGTCAAAAAGCATTGCATGAAGAAGGTAAAAATGTATGGTATTTGGACAGCGGTTGTAGCAACCATATGACTGGACAGAAGGAAGCATTTATAAACATTGATTCTTCATTTGGCTCAAAAGTTAAATTGGGAAATGGAGAACATGTCGTAGTGAAAGGGAAAGGAAGCATTGGAGTCACCACAAAGCAAGGAAGCAAAGTCATACATGACACGCTCTATGTACCGGAATTAGACGAAAATTTTCTTAGCATTGGACAACTTCTGGAGCACGGCTATTCTCTAAACTTTGAGAATAACGAGTGCAGAATTTTTGACTCAAAGAAGAAGTGTTGCCGTTGTGAAGATGACTAGCAACAGGAGCTTTCCACTATCTTTTAACTATGAGAAAAATGTAAGCATGATGGCCAGAGAAGAGAATGACTCGTGTTTATGGAACAGGAGACTTGGGCATTTGAATTAAGAAAGCCTCGAGTTAGTCTATCAAAAGAAGATGGTGTGTGGGCTGCCAAGAATCGAAGAAAAATCTGGTGTGTGTGAAGGTTGTGTGCTTGGAAAACACCACCGGCAACCATTTCCAAAGGAAGGTGCATGGAGAGCTAAACAAGTGTTGGAACTTGTACACACATATGTGTGTGGCCCTATGAATACTTTGTCTCATGGCAAAAATAGATACTTTATCTTGTTTATTGACGACTTTACCCGCATGACTTGAGTATATTTCATGAGACAAAAATCTGAAGCGTTTGTAATCTTTAAGAAATTTAAAGCATTAATCGAAAAACAAAGTGGCAGATTTATAAAGATGCTGAGAAGTGATCGAGGGATGGAGTACACCTCAAATGAATTTCATAAATTTTGTGAAGATGAAGGTGTTGAAAGACAGCTCATTGTTGGATATACATCTCAGCAAAATGGTGTCTCTGAAAGAAAGAACCAAACCGTGATGGAGATGGCGAAGTATATGCTACTTGAGAAAGGTTTGCCTAAAACCTTTTGGCCCGAGGTCGTTAACACTACTGTGTATTTGATGAACAGGTGTCCAACAAAGGTCGTGTGGAAAAAGACTCCATTTGAAGCCTAGAGTGGAAGAACACCGTCGGTGAACCATCTTAAATTTTTTGGGTGTGTTTGCTATGCTCAAATTCCTAAACAAAAGAGGACAAAGCTAGAAGAAACAAGTGAAAGATGTATCTTTATTGGCTATAGTTCCATGTCAAAGGGCTATAGACTTTACAACTTGAATACAAACAAGGTGATCATTAGCCGGGATGTTGTATTTGATGAGAATGCTTCTTGGAATTGGGAAGAAGACAAAACGAAGGAGAAAACAGTCCCTGCAATCATATTACAACAACAAAACCCCACAGCTGATAATGAGCAACCAGCTTCATGTACACCAAGTTCCTCATCCTCTCCAAGTTCACAAATTTCAAGTTCATCATCTCCCAGCTCAACTCCAATAAAATTGAAGGACTTGAGTGATATTTATGCAAGATGCAACTATTGTGTTGTGGAACCAGAAAATTTTGATGAAGCAATCAAAGAAGATGCTTGGAGGAATGCGATGCAAGAAGAAATAAATGTCATTGAGAAAAACAAAACATGACAGTTAGTTGAAAAGCCAAATGACAAAGAAGCTATTGGAGTAAAGTGGGTGTACAAATTGAAGCATAATCCAGATGGGTCAATTCAAAGAGCCAAGGCTAGATTGGTAGTAAAAGGCTATGCACAACAACCTGGAATTGACTATAGTGAAACTTTTTTCCCAGTTGCAAGATTGGATATTGTACAAATAGTTATTGCATTAGCAGCTCCGAAAGGGTGGAACCTGTACCAGCTTGATGTGAAGTCAGCTTTCCTGAATGGAGAATTAAAAGAAGAGGTATATGTGCATCAACCTCAAGGCTTTGTGACTAAAGGCCAAGAGGAAAAAGTTTACAAGTTGAAGAAAGCTCTCTATGGGTTGAAACAAGCCCCGAGAGCATGGTATAGTTAAATTGACAGCTACTTCATTCAACAAGGATTTGAAAGAAGTCAAAGTGAGCATACCTTGTATGTGAAGCATCAAGGTAAAGATGATATCATTCTTGTTGCCCTTTATGTTGATGATTTGGTGTATACGGGTAATAACAAGAAAATGGTTGAAATTTTAAAATATAAATGATGAAAAAATATGAGATGAGTGATCTTGGTTTGCTGCATCATTTTCTTGGTATTGAGGTTTACCAAGATGAATATGGAGTTTTTATTTGTCAAAAGAGATATGCTGAAAATGTTTTGAAAAAGTTTGGCATGAATGGCTGCAAACCTGTTGATATTTATTTATTGGTGAATGAAAAATTAAAGAAGGAAGATGGTGGAATATTAGTAGATGCAAGTATGTATAGAAGTTTGGTTGGAAGCTTGTTTTATCTTACAGCTTCAAGGCCCGATTTAATGTTTGCTGCTAGTTTACTCTCAAGGTTTATGAGTAAACCGAGTCACTTACACCTTGGAGCAACAAAAAGAGTTCTAGGGTATGTCATGGGAACCATGGAACATGGAATCAGGTTTGAAAAGAATTTTAAACTCGAAGTTAAAGGCTACTGTGACAGTGATTGGGCTGGAAGTGTTGATGACATGAAAAGCACTTCCAGTTATGTGTTCAGCCTGGGTTCAGGAGTAATTTCTTGGTGTTCGAAGAAACAAGATACTGTAGCGCAATCTTCAGCTGAAGCCGAATATTTGATAGCTGGTTTAGCTACACAACAATCATTGTGGTTGAGAAGAATACTTGAAGATGTCGGAGAAAAGCAAGAAGAAAGTCTGTTGCTTCACAGTGACAATAAATCAGCAATAGCCATGGCGAAGAATCCAATTTTCCACAGTCGAACAAGACATATTAATATAAAGCACCACTTCATTCGAAGTGTGATCGAAGATGGTGATGTGCAGTTAGTGTTCTGCAATTCACAAGAGCAGCTTGCAGACATTTTTACTAAAGCACTACCAAGAGGAAGATTTCAGCAACTTAGAGAAGCAATGAGAGTTAAAGAGCAACACATTAAGGGGGAGTGTTAAAATTAATGTGTTGTAACCACCACTATCTTTAGGAAGCATTATGAGAGAATTGTAACCATCACATTATAATGATTGTCTTTATTTAGATTTATGGTAGAGTTGTATCATTAAAATTGAGAGAACCAAAGAGTCCTCATCTTGATTAGCAACTTATTTGTATTCTCTATCAGTTTCATTCAAGTTTATATAAAGGCTTTGTAATGCTAAGATTATAAGTAAGAAGTGTTTGGTGAATTAAAAAAAAAAGAGTTTTTCAATGGTCATCCACCAGTAGAAGTATAGTACAAAAAGTGATAAAAAGTAGTTTTCTCTGCAGAATCCTGCAACACTATAATTTTTCACATACCACCTCTAGAATACCGCCAACAATTTCTCCTCACTCCAAAACTGGCAAGAACAGCTATACCTCTCTCTAGAGTTTGTTCCTTGCTTAATGTCTCCATCTTCTGCATATAAACATTGCTGCCAGTTCTTATGTTCCTTTGTTACTTTTTTCCGTATGTCTTATCACTTTGGTAGGTTCTTTTTACCAGTGTTGTTTAATTTCACTTCCCAATACTAATTTCCAGTCTAGTATCGCATTGGTGTAAGTTCGTTTGCATGTCGAAATTAAAAGATAGTTGAAAATATATGGAGACTTTTGATGAGAATGAATGACTACATCATGCGGTGGTTTTTGAGCCTTTGTCTGTCACTTAACCAGTCGATTCTTTTAATAAAGATATCCTAAGAAAAGGCATCATACTATTAATTGTGCTCGGCCCTTGCTAAGAATCATGAGCTCTTAAGCACTTTTAAAACTATATATTCCTGCTTTTAAAATTTCTAGTATACCAATTCCTTTTTTTATAGCAAGAAACATTACTCATGTATTTCATAAGTTCTTAAGTGCAATTACCAAAAACACAGAGATGATATTTGAGTACTTGAAATTATTGTCATTAAACACTGTATTTGTCAATCTGATGGTGATTTATTCCCATCTACAATTTCCTAAGACACATAGTTTACAAAAAAAAAGGAAAAAACTCTATGTACTAAGCTATGTCAGTCTCTTTTGGTGTTATTTTCATATTCCATTCAAGCCACAAGTTATATTTTGAAATACATCTTCTGTGCATGGAATGGTGAGGCCACCCATCGGATGATCGTATCCAAACTCTTCCTCGGCTTGACTAAGCAAGTCTTGAAACGACGGTTGGTTCAAGTATGAAATTGGAATCACATACCGCGTCTGTTTCTCTCCAACATACACAGCAACGTGTCCTTTTGGCATGGCCATAGCTTTAGAAGATGATGCTCTTCTGATCATACTAGGAATACGAAAACCCATTATATTATGCGTTGAAAGTTGAAACGAAGATGTTTCTAAAAAGACTTGTATGCAAGGGAAAGTTTTTGATATTCTAATGCTTTAGGATGTGAGTGATATGTGTTGGTTCTAAATGCTTGTAGAAATGAATATATATAGATAAATGAACATTAAGAAACTATTAGCTACATGAATGATTGGTGACGACTATAGTATAAGATTAGGAGGATAAGATCATAGAATATACAAGGAGACATAGATAAGATCACATGGTATTGTCTTAGAGGTCTTTCATAAACATCAAATCTCTTAATAGACAACACACCAACATATCACACCATAAGAAATTTTAATTGACCTTCATGCTTGTTTATCAAGGCAGGGACCGCAAAGTTCTGTTCTGGTATGCAAATTTCCCGGAGTATGTGTCGTCTTGCAAAAATATAAAATGTGGTTCATAATGGTTTGTGATCTTGTGTTTAGTATTGGTTCTCTTCTTGCCTCCAAGCACTGTTTTTGAGATGCTATGAATCATGGCCTACACAAGTTTCACATAAATCATATATTAGCTGGATTGTCAATTTGAAGAAACATGTGATATGTCTAAAGCATGTCCAGCATTTAAATAGCTATAACAAAATTCAACAACAGACATCAGGTTTCATTCACCATTGCATTGTCTTAAATTTCCTAATACTTGAAAATGACCTCTATTAGACAATACCATGTGATCCCTTCTCCCTTACTAGGCCCTGTTACAACTATATATATACACTACTCCATGGTTTCACAAGCAACACAAGTCTCTTTACATCCTAAAACATCACAACTTAATATCTCTTTCTCAAGCAATCCTATAACCATAAACAAACAATGGGTTTCCGCATAACAAGTATTATCAGAAGAAAATCATTTACCAGAACCCAAGGATCAACCAAGGGATTTGAAGTTGCTAAAGGATATCTCGCCGTGTATGTTGGAGATAAAATGAGGCGGTTTGTGATTCCAGTATCATACTTGAACCAACCATTATTTCAAGAATTACTTATTGAAGCAGAAGAAGAATTTGGATATGCTCATCCAATGGGTGGTCTAACAATTCCATGCAGTGAAGATGAATTCTTAAACCTCACTTCTAGATTGAATTGAGCTGTAAATCATGCTAATGAAGATTTAGATAGACTAGTTTGAGATAGATTAGTTGAAATTAATTTGTACATAAAGCATTTTCTTCAATTATGAAGATTTTTCATTTTGTTAATTCTGTCATATATCATTCCTTAGGAAATCAAAATGTTTCCTGTATGAGAATGTTAATTATACAAGAGATTGTTCAAACATTTTTAACTTTTACCATATAGAATTTATTTATAATATATTAAAACAGACTCCAAACCTATTTTCAGCACTTTAAATGCCATCTAATTTAATTTTTGCGAAATCATGTAAAAATCTGAGTTGTTACTATCTATAATCTATTTTATTTTCTATTCCCCTATCAAAAACTCTTAACCATCTATTTTCCTCAAACCTCAAATCACTCCCTTCTCATTCAATCTTTCTATCTCCCATTAGACATTCTATTACAATATATCTTCTATTACAATATATTAAAAATCCATAATCATTTTTTTTTTTCATCCAACCACAACCTCTCACCTAATATATTACCTCAATTTTGTTGATCTATCAATCATAATGGTTGGTTCATAATCTCGCGTTGTCAAAACAGTTCAACTTTAAACCCTTATGTCTTGTGCATTGATTTGGAGATTCTAATACATGACTTTATTTTTTCATACTCCGATTAGTCAAATTCAACTCAATCATCATTTTTATTGAAAAATATGGATCTAACACCTATTCTATAGTTCTCTTAATATTGTCAAATATCTCTTATTTTACATATAAACCATTTGAATTTCTTGAATTTTAATAATCTCTGGCATTCTACCTAATTATTATAAATTACTTTTGCATGCATTCTACTCTCCCTGTTTTCAAAAAAAATCATGTATAATAACAAATGCTTCAGAAATTCAATAGTATCATGATACAAATAAGAATTTTAATAAAATAGATATCAATATATTTAAGGGTTTACAATTATATGGTTGGATAAAATTGTTGGTGGGATGATAACTAATAACCTACATGTTTGCCTTCATATTAATATTAGAATACTTCAATTTACATTTTATCATTAAGAAAATAGTTAATTAACTATCTTATTATAGTGATAAATTTTCATCAATCTCTCTTATTTCTATATATTTATTCTCATTAAAAATATAAACATATATGAAACATTAAAAAAATTTGAAAAACATAAATTTTTATAGTTTTATGCAAACTAAATTTTATTATGATTTTCTATCTACACAAAGATGAAAATATAATATTAAGAGTCTTAAATATTGATAAAGACGATATATACATGGTATTTTTTATCAATTTCACTAGTTTAATTGATAGAAGAATTTGTAACACATAATTAAATATTCTTGTAAATATTGTATTTATTTTTACATTCACTTGATTTTTAAGACATTTAAATAATATTATAATTAGTACATTGCTTCTATTTATTTTCCAATTAAAAGGGTAGACCCATCTTTCTGACTAACTGCTTTACATGACTTTTGATTAAAGATTATATCATAACCGTTATCACTTAATTAACTTATGTATAACAGGTTATGCATTAATCTATCTACTAACAGAATATTAGTGATAGAGGAAAGTGTATTGTTACCAATAGTTCCAGAGCCAATAATCTTTTCTTTCTGATTTTCTCTGAAACCTACATAGCCTCCAGATTTAAGCTCCAGGCTTTGGATCATATTATTTCCTCCTGTCATGTGTCGAGAGCATCCAGAGTCCAGCTACTAAGATTGGTGTTTCAGCTTTGTTGTTACAGACATCTGCAACATAGATGATTTTATTCTTAGGTACCCATATCTTTTTCGGTCCTTGTTTGTTAGAGTTTCCAAGATTTTGTTTGAATTTTGGTTTAGCAGAGAAAGCATTACTAGTATATTTTATATCATGTGCATGCCCATTGTGCGTTTTATAATTATATCGTTAACTTTCTTTGGTTGATATGTTTCTTCTCCCCTTGGTTTCACATATCCTATACCTTTTCATCCGTTTCTGCTAACTCCATAGATCATTGAAGCCATCTTGCTCCTATCTATGTTTTTAGCTAGAAATTTTTGAAAGCTATGATCATATTCTTTTATGATCTTATCAGAACAATTCAAAACTTATGAAACGGTTTCTTTCTGAGTCTTTTGTAGTTCTTTTTAAGTTTAGAGATTGGTTGAAGCACGACACGTAGGTCGTCTTCAACCTCTAGACGCCATAGATTGGAATTTCACAAACTGTAAAATTAGCATACCAGATCGACACTATTAGATTTGTATCTTCAAGACAATTCTAATGGTACCCTCACGCCAAATTTATATAAGCTGAGCAAGGTTCTATTTAAAAAAAGCAGAAAAATAGCGAGCATGAAACTTCCAAGTATCTCTCTCAATTCTTAATGAAAATGAAAATCGTAAGAAGTATGAGAATCAGAAGAATGAGTAGAGTATAATAGGGATTTATTTTGTTCATTTTGGTTGAGAATTCTACCTGAACGAAGTTCACCAAAATAGATCTGAAACTGGACTTATGTAGCTTAATTCAGGTCACGATTCTTTAAGGTTAGAGTGTGGTTAGCTTCATAGAAGTTCAATGGAGCTAACTGAATGGAGCTTTTAGTGTTTTGAGGTGAGAATAAAAGAAATTAGAAATTTAAATTCAGAGTTCGTGTGGGATCTGAACAAGGTGATTTTTTTTATGTTAAAGCTTGAGAAAATGAGAGGAGTGAATTCCTCTATTTATAGGAAAGTGAATGGTGCAACGAATTAAGAGAAAAAGTGAGGTTTGGAGGGAAAATGAGTGAAGCCCGAAACTGGAAAAAATGTGACACTAATTCACTCAAAACTCATCCAATTCCCGCGTTTTGATGCTTAAACAAGTCTGAGAAAGTTTGTTAATCATGTTTAGATCAAAAAAGAGTTCAAAACTGGTGATTAGAAGGAAAACTATGGATTTCAAATTCTGACTTTGGAGAAAAATTTAATTTCAAGTAGCTGACTTTGAACTCATAGTGTGTATAACTCAGGAAGCCTTACGAGATGATTCTTGATGCAGTGGAAAGATCATGTAACACTCTTCACAATGTGCAAAGAAAGACTTCATTTGGATTCTTGAGCTTAAAGTTATGCTTAGTCAAAATCAATAAAAATGCACTGACTTTTATACTTTGAAAAATTCAAAGTTTCTTCTTCAAAAATGACCTATAATATTTTGATTCAAAACAAGGTCTTCCTTTAAATTGAGCTTTGATCATTGATGTTAGCTTAAAGTAGACTTTCTAAAGAGTATTGTGAAACTTATATCATTCAAAATTCCAAATATTGAACAAGTTATGATCTTGTGAAATTGGTGGAAATCCATGAGATGACCTATAATATTTTTAGTTCAAAAAGCATATTGCAATCATTTACAAGCTTAGCACCAAAAAAAAATTAAAGTTAACATACTTAAGATCATTGTGAAAAAATAATGAGCTCAAGATGATAAAAATTGACCAAGTTACGATCCTTTGAAGTCACATAAAAGAATTTGATGGCCTATCTAGAGGACTTGTAATTTCTCAATCATTAGTGAACTTCCATACAAAATTTGCTTGAAACTATTTAAGTGATATGTTAATAACCCTTTAAAGAGAAACATATCTGTAAATCAATCAAAAATCTCAAAAGATGGACAAGATATAGCCCTTAGAAGTTCAAAACCCAAGCTCATAAAGCATCAGGATGACTTGGAAACCCTTTCAGCTTTTGACAATCTTTCTTGCACAATTTCTTTTTTCATGTGAAGAGAAGTTGTTGTGAATGCTAATATGAACCCATGGCAAGAAAAATCACCTTCAAATGTTGAGAATTGATGGATTTATGCCATTGTGGTCAAGGAATCAAGAACTTGTCCAATTAGGTCAAACTTCTTGAATGAATCTTGCATATTTTGACTTCCTTTGACAAATTGAAGCACGGTGAATCATAGTAATCCTTGTAATGATATTGTCTTAAAGAAAACTCAAAGATGAAGCTTAAATATCAATGAAGCTTTGTTGAAGAAGGCATGGAAATAAACTCATGAACCTATGAATCAACCTGATGAAATGTGTTGAGCCATCACCTATAATGCCAAAATCCATAGAGAAAATATACATACATTGTATTTGTTAGTTAAAAGTAAATCAATCATCAAAAACACACATGTACAAAACCATACAAATAAAGGTGCTTGATAATCCCCTATGAACAAACCTAAAGATAGGAAGAAGAAACAAACTCTAGTGTGTGATCTTGATAGGATTGGGTTGACATTGAAATGATGATAGATCTTAGGGGCAAAAATTGGGGTATAACAGCTGCCATTATTTAAGTGTTTTATATTCGGAGATACGAAGGTTAACATCTTTGTCTCGACGCGATTGAAGATACTAAAATATAAAACAAGCCCTATTTTTTACCCTAAGATGTCATGAAATGCTTATGATCATGTATGCAGACAAAAAAATCCAAAGGTGACACAGGACACCACTAGGGATGCGGGAAATAAAAATAAAGGATCAAAAGAAAATCCGATCAGGAAAATAAATCACTGGTGAAAAGAAGGCTCAACTCTACTGGGGTAAATCCCAAAGAGGAGATAAGGCATAATCAACTCAAATAATGAGAAAAAAGTAAAGGATGACAATGATAGACAACTAACTGTGAACTATTCACTCACAGAGGATATAGCAAAAAAGTAACCTCGACTCACAGGGAATAGGAAATTAACAACCCGAAGAATGTAAAGAGAAATGGTAAGATAATACTGGTAAATACCAATCTTAGGGTAGGTAACCAATGATTCGCAACAACACTTGTGACTGGAAACAAATGACTTCTTTAAAGCAAAGTAAATCTCGACGACGAACTATCTCCCATAATGACGAGATTACCATTCATCAGAGTAACAAAACTAAAAAATTAACTATCTCCCATAATGAAGAGACTATCATTCATTGGAGTAACAAATCTCAACAATGA